CCGTGAACGTGAACTCGAAGCCGTGAGAAGAAGAAGAAGTCGAAGTTGTGAGAAGAAGTCTGAAGTTAGTCGTGAACTCGTGATTAACTCAAGAAAGAAGACGACGTTGTGGAGTAAGGAAGCTTCACTGATTTCAGATTCAGACCTAATTTAGCCCAAAAAATTAGGCCCATGGAATAACAAAAGCCCAAAATTTTGAACACTTTAATTATGTGATGTGTTACTTTTGAAACTATATTTCTAAACTCTAATTAATGCATATTATATATATAATTCTAAGAAATATTATGTTAACCGCTATTTCCGATATATCACCGATATATCACCGATATAACCGATATATCGAATATCGGTCCTGACCGATATTTCGTATTCTGACCGATATAACAGCATAGGATGTGTCATATATAACTCTGGACATTTCTTACCTCTTGCGGCGATCAAGGAACCGCTGGGAGTTTCCACAAACCATTAGCAAAGTCGTTGTAACCATCATCATCGAGTAAACGTGTAGAAATCACATTAAGTCTCATACCCGAGACATGTTTTACATTCTGCAAAACGAATTCCATCCCAGTGTCAAATTTCAAACAAACATCGCCAGCTCCAACAATCTTTGATAGATCATTATTACCCATCTTAATTGTGTCATAATCACCTGGAGTGCAAGATGCATAAAAGTCTCTTCATGATATAACATGACACGTAGCACCACTGTCAATGATCCAACTCGAATCATCATGTGCAAGGTTGACCATATCATCATCACAACAAAGAAAGAACTCTTCAGTGTTGCTATTAACTTCAGCTTGTCATTGATACCGTCATCTTTCTTATGGTTATTCTTTTGATTGTTGTGGATAACCTTTTTGTTCTCCTTCAACTGTCTGCAGAACCATATGGTGTGCCCTTTTCTACCACAAATGGGAACATTCAAAATCAACATACTTTCCTTTTGAATTCGCCCGATGATTACCTCTATTATTTGGATCTCTGCTCTTCCCCCACCTTTCTGTGACCAAAACATCTGACTATGGAGAGGAACCCTACGACTTTCTTCTCATTTCTTTATTTAGAATATTGCCTTTAGCTAATTCCATGGAAATAACACCATTGGATGCGAAATTGGACAATGACGTCCTAAAAGTCTCCCAAGAATCTGATAGAGTACCAAGGATCTATAAACCTTGGATTTCATCTTCAAACTTGATACCTATTCCTTCAAGTTGATTAATAATTCCCTAAAATGCATTCGAGTGATAGGAGTTCCGTCGTGGTACTTAAGTTGGATCATCTTTTTAATCAAGAACAACTTGTTATTTCCAGTCTTTCGAGTATATAACTGCTCGGCTGGTTCCACTAAATATGAGCATGACCCCACTAATATGGTTCAAAACATTATCATCTACCCACTAACAAATATACTGACAAATGTGTCTATGCAAAATATTCCATTCTACATCTATTTTATTCTCAGGTTTGTTGGTTGAAAAGACAGGCTGGTAAAAATCCTTCACATAAAAAAGGTCTTCCATCTTTCCTTTCTAAACATGATAAATAAAACCATTTAGACTTATCATCCTACTTGTATTAGCTTCCATCATTCAAACAAGTCAAACCTAATAACAATAACCAAAAGCTCTGATACCACTCTGATGGGAAAGACGTGTCTCAGTGGTAACAACATATGCGCAATAAACCTTCGTTGGAAAAACTTTCCCGACTTATATGAACTTGAGGATGCGAACAAATATGGTATACTAAATGTAATGATAATCAACCCCCCAAATCAGAAATAAACAACAAATAAAAGCACATATTCAACACATGGATTTTAACGTGGAAATCTTTCAAAGCAAGAGTAAAACCATGGGACCCTTGGGTCGCTTAAAGTCCACTACCACCGGTAAACAACACAAAAGTTTTATCTAGATAAAACTAGTGGAAAACAACAATCATCATACTCTTGGAACAAATCATCAAGAAGTATGGAATCAAACCCAAAGGAAAACAGAAAGAAATATCACCCATAAAAACGACAATTTGTCGAACAGCAAAAGGACAACTCCCGGAGCTCCAAAATGAATCTCCACCGTTCAAAATGTATATAAAGATGTCGTGAAGCTACTATCCAAAAATCATGACAATCTGACGGTTCAAACTCTGGGAATGGACAAAACGGCACAGCTGCACTTGCCCGACAAGTGCAGCCGAACTTCCTTATCTTTTCTCACTTTTGTATTTTGTGACTTTCTTCATATTGTTATAAAACCCTAGGATACAAGGCAATATATAGCTTGTATCGTGCCACTGTTGTTGGGCTATTTTAACCATTCCTCATAGGCCAGAAATAATAAAATAAAACCCAACAGGAGGGACTGGTCTTGGTAAGGAAGGACGGATGGGGGTTCTCAATTTGCATCAAAACGGAAGGAGAGTGATGGGTTGGTGAAGGTGATGGTGGAGCATTAGAGAGGGATGGTGATGACAGTGTTCGCCGGATGGGGAGGGGGAACTACATGGTCAATGGTGTTCACCGGAGATGAAGTGGGGGACAATTGTCGGCATAAACAATCCTTGTGCATCGGAGATGAAGTGGGGGACAATTGCCGGCATAAACAATCCTTGTGCATGGTCGTGGGAAGGCGAAGGGACATTGTGTGTGGCCATGGGAAGAAGAAGAGGGTGGTGGGTGTAGATGCCTGGTGATGGGTGGAGGTTGCAGTGGGGGTTGGTGATCGGAGAAATGGCATGGGGGAGGTCGTGCTTGCTATTCACATGTCATTTGTGTGTATAATGCATATTCGATTTAATTACGAAGTTGAACTTGTAGTTTGGGGTTTTTCTTTACGAAAATGGAGGAAAAGACAAAAATAAATGTTAAAATGAAGAAAAAGGAAAAATGACGGAAATGCTCCCAAAGTTAAGGAAGATTATGGATGACTGTTAGGGTGAGGGACCAAATCATTACAAACGTGCAAACAACGAGTCCAATTCCGTAATAAATGGAGTTCGAGGACCACGTTTGTAAAACCCACCAAACCATAGGGACAAATCCGTAATTAACTCTAAAAATCAATAATAAAACTAAATTAAGGAGTAAACTATGGATTTGGTCCCTATGGTATGCATGTATTTACGAAATTGGTCCCTAGGCTTCATGTACGTAGCTTACCAGATGGTATGCATATTTTCACGAATGTGGTCCTTCGCCCTAAGCCCCTAACGACCATCTACCAAGTTTGTTAAACTCGAGGGCAAAATGGCCTCTTTGCATTTTTTCTTTATTTGAGATTTTTTAATTAACAATATTATATCAAGGGAGAGAATCATATTTCACATTTCTTCTCCAACCTCGAGGCTCCATTTTTCGTCAAACCATACACCATTTCTAGCGAAACCCTCTCACCTCCATCTTCCTCACCAACACCGGTGAAATCCCCTCCCCATTTCCTGCACCACCATCCTCACTCCTAACCACCACTACCCTCCACCCATCTCCAGTGACAACCGCCAGCCTTCTTCTACACCGTTGGACAAAGATAAATGATCCATGTTGATGCAGTCTACGATGGGTCATTGACGGGTAGAGATAAGTTGCATTTAGAAATATTAGGGGGGATGGGGATCCTTGACAAGATGCTTTTTGGAAGAAATAAGTTGCAGCCTTGCAGGTGTGGTGTACTAAAAGGGTCATAAATAGAAAACCTCTTGGAAGGGTCATCGGAGCAATACTGGTGGGGGAGGGTTGTCCGAATCATCGGACATGGGGGAGGAGGGGGGTCATCGTCCCCATCATCAACAGGTGGTATAGTGGTATGGTTTGTTTGTGTTGAGGAAGATGGAAAAGGTGATGGTATCACAAAGGCGACAAAGGGAGGAGCGAGAATACGGGGAAAGGGGTTCAGCAAACCCACAATGTTCACGTTGTCGGAAAGAAGGGTGGGAGAATAGAGTTTTTTGTGTTTGTTTAACAGACAGAGAGGAAAAGAGAATACTAAAATGACAAAATGAGCCCTTTGCCCTAGACTTAACAGCAAAACTGAACGGCCATTTGGTCAAGGGACCAAAACTGTGAAGAATTATATAGCTCTTGGTGTTCTATGTAATAAATGAAGTTTAAAGACCAATTCTGTAAAAACACGCGTAGCACAGGGACCAAATCTGCAATTCACTCAAAAATGAATTATAAAATGATTGTTGAAAAAAGTCCGTGTTCATCATTGTTGGTGAATGAGAGAAATCAAACCTCAAAGAGGTGGCATTGAATAAATGTTGGTTTGTGAGAAAGGCTTGAGCTTGAGACCACTGAACTTGTGTGCATGGATATGTTCTACTTTCCATCCAAAAAGAACGCCATTTTAACCTGTTTGCTGGACTAAATCAACAGCCTAAGTTGACCAATTTGCTGGAAAAGTAAGGGATTCCAGTTCGGTTAACTTTCCTTACTGGGAAGTAAGACAAGTTTAAACATGAAATACTGTGGACACAAGTAATTTTAGTGGAGTGACCAATAATACTCGATAGTACATGTCCAACTAAAATTTGTTCCAAATACTTGATGGTTACCCTTATTGTTAGATAATAAACAATTTCTTTGTTTTATGGTTTCAGCTAATAATTGAGATACGTAGTGTTGCCTTTCTTTACTTGATCTATTGTTGGTATTTGAGAGAGAAGGCTATGTGAGCTACGTGTATATAGATGCTCCTAACAGCATCAATAATATTTCTGTTAATAATATATGTTTTCAGGTTGCTGCATCTATGAAGAAGGATGTGGACGCTCAAATTCCAAACTATCCCAATCTTCAGTCAAAATTGTTGTGCATCCTTCATGACGTCACATTGCATGTATGCCCCTTTTTGTTGTTTTAAATGCGAGTTCTTTTTGGAACTTTGTTTCTAAGAAACAATATACATGAAAAAAATGCAAAAAAAGAAAATCCTGTTGTCAAATAATAACAGAAAAAAGGTCCATCGGCTAAAAAGCAGCGAAAAAAAAGCAGTCCAGTTGGCCTCTATGGTGTTTTCTTTGCCATTCACGGCCCATTGGAATATTCCTTTTGCATTTTAGAACAATCTTGGATGTTTTGAAATGATGTGTCAAGCATGGTGATCCAAAATGTCAATCAGTTAGTTATTGTTTGTGCAGAAATGGGCAAATTGATTTGTATCATGTTATGTATTTATATACTTTATTTCAAAAAATATACTTTCAGGCCGACACAGAAACAGATGAAGTATATGCTCAGATGACTCTCCAACCTGTTCCTTCGGTATGGAACTGTATGATAACTTTTGAATTTCACTGGGCACAAATGTAGGTTGCTGACTTAAACACACAACTTTTTGCAGTTTGATAAAGAAGCACTATTGAGGTCGGACCTGTTGATGAAAGCACACAAGCCACAAACAGAGTTTTTTTGCAAAACTCTGACAGCAAGTGATACAAGCACCCATGGAGGATTTTCGGTTCCTCGTCGAGCAGCCGAAAAGATCTTCCCTCCTCTTGTGAGTTGAAGCTTCTTTGTTTCTTTTTTTGTAACACGAAGGTTAATTGATGAAAATTGAAAATCTTGTGTTCTATTTATTTTTCCGTAGGATTTTTCGATGCAACCACCTGCACAAGAACTTGTGGCCAGGGATTTACATGACAATGTATGGACATTTCGCCATATTTATCGTGGTAAGCCCAGCTTGCTCTTTCTAAAGCAAAGTGAGCACATGAAACCCAAAATTTAAACAAATACTAACACAGAATTGAAAAACAAAACAGCACCCAACTGGTCTTGGTCAAGTGATTGGAGACTAACCTTGAGGTCATAACTTTAATTACCACACTTGTATATTGCCTGGGTTGCGTGAATGAGCTGGCAAGGCAACAAAGTTTCAACCCTTTGGGTGTGATTTCTAGGGTCTTTAGAGAAAATATTTTTCATGCTTCCATGAAACAAATCCTTCTTCGAATTCAGGTCAACCAAAACGTCACTTGCTCACGACTGGTTGGAGTCTCTTTGTTAGTGGAAAGAGGCTTTTTGCAGGAGACTCAGTCTTGTTTATAAGGTAATGCCATGACCGTATCAAAGTTTGTGCACTTTTTTGATGTATAATTTCTGATATATGCGTCAAATACACTTGGGTGTATAAACAGGGACGAAAAGCAACAGCTTCTTTTGGGTATTAGACGAGCAAACAGACAACCAGCCAATTTATCATCATCAGTTTTGTCGAGTGATAGTATGCATATTGGAATCTTGGCGGCTGCTGCGCATGCAGCTGCAAACAACAGTCCTTTCACTGTGTTTTATAATCCAAGGTACTTGACTTGAATATCAAATTGCAACACATTTCATATCGTGATGCGATACTAAAATTGTAGCACTTCAATTTTTAAAAAAAGTTAACCATTACGAATTTGACCCTTCTCATCTTTACAAATCAATTACTCCCTTGCAGCTCCCCTATAAACACACACATTGTTAAAATATGTTGGTTCACTTTTGTAATTGTTGGTGGGTTAGGAAATGTTATGTAAATACCATTATGTATATGATGTTTTCCTTTTTCTATTTCTTGTAACTCGATTTCAAACCTAATATAAAAGTCCTCCTATCGCCAACATTTGGTTTTAATCTGTGTTCATCATCTTCATTGCTATTTACATATACATAATACTGGGGAAGGTTCAAATGAGAACCATAAATATTTTTAGAACCATGAGAACCAGTATATATCGAATTATTGGTGCATATAAACCATATGAATTTTAGTGAGTATATGCACCAATGCATATATTACGTATACATTGATGAATATACTCATTATTTTTGATGATGTATATGCTTCAATTTATATTATATATATGTATATATATACACACACAGGAGAGGGATCAAATGCAAACCACCCCTATTTGTACAAACCGTGAAAACCTCTCTCAACTCTCGATTTCATTGTTCAATTTAATGAAACTATTTCATGAAGTTGTTTAATCTGATGAAATTGTTTCATATATTTTTTAATGACATGTTATGGTTCTCATTTGAACTTTTGTTATATATGTACACACACAGACATGCCTTTATACATGTATACACATCAAGATGGGTATATATTTATACATACATAGATAAATAGATGTGTTCCTGTGTATGTCAACCGGAGAGGGTGAAAACTTTTGCTACTTGTGTGCTGGTGTGTCATGTACCCACCTACCAGCCCAAGCCCATCAGATGTGGTACATTCTAGAATAGATAAGTAGGGGTAATTCAGGGAGTTTTGGAATAGCTTTCATAGTGGGAATGTAGTTTGGGTATTACTTTGAATAAGGTGGTAACAGGAGTTGTATAAATAGGGATGAGAGAGGGGGGGGGGGGAGTGGAGCAGTCCAGAAAACTAGTAAGAGTGTTCTTAAGAGAGCTCTGACTTCTCGAACAGCCAGAAACTGTTCCTTTTACTGTTAACCGAATCTTCCGAGTTGTTTTTATCAGTGGTGGCAATTTGCCATTGTCTGTGTAAGTGCGAACTTCTTGAGAAAAACCCAAATATTTATCATCAAATTTGTTCATTTTTTGAACGCAGGGCTAGTCCATCAGAATTTGTGATTCCATTAGCCAAGTACTACAAAGCAGTATGCAGTAATCAAATATCTCTTGGCATGCGGTTCCGGATGATGTTCGAGACTGAAGAGTCGGGAACAAGAAGGTAATAGAGTCTAACCTTGATATTTTCAATATATTCACTGCTGATTTGATGTACAAGTTGTTTTTGTTAAGGCCATCATGCAGTTCTTACTTGAACTAACAAAGGTTCTTGATTGAACTTGCAACCAACTGTCCCTCAGACCATCACTCAACCTGTCAATATCATCCCTTGACTTCTAGCTTTGGCGGTCCCTGAATCAAGGTTTTGGCCTCTCTATCTCCTACCTTGATGAATCGGTTGTAAAATGTGCAACACATGACTAAGGATCCGGGCTAAAATTGTGAAATGAAAAGAAGCAAATAATAATACTTCCATTTGTCCCAAAAAAAGAGTCCACTTTTAAAATTTAGAAGGAATTTAAAGACAATGTTACACATGAATAACCAGAATGTTACAAATTGACTACACAAGTCTTGATAATGGAAGAGTAACTTTTTAGCAACAAATTTATCTTAATGTTGAAATTTGACATCGGCTTCTTTTTATGATGGACACAAATTGTAAAGTTGATTATGTTTCAAGGATAGAGTATTAAATTGACGCCATGACATGCAAAACATGAGCTGACAATTTTGCCATTGATTTTGTCATGTGCCCATATGTCGCACATTTAACACCCAATTCTGTCACAGTATCATGAAATTTACATGAAGATTATGAGCTCACCAACATTAAGAAAGGTCAAGCCAAAAGAGTGGAAATCTGCAAATTGAGCTTTGGTCGGGGGAGTTCTGTAATTCACTCCAAGTTTGATATACTTGACATTTCTTCCCAAGCTGTTATGTCGTGTAATTTATTTCATTGCATTGAGGTCTAGAAGTTTTAGTTATATAAGTTACTGGAATTTTAAATCTTTTAGATGGTACATTCTGCAGGTATATGGGTACGATTACTGGGATCAGTGATCTTGATGGTGTGAGATGGAAGAACTCACAATGGCGTAACCTACAGGTATAGTTGCTCAAACACATCTTACAAAGTGCATGGTTTTTATCTTACTTGTGTTGGCATATTTTGGATCAACTAAAGAGCTTACCACCATAATCATTTCATCATCTCGAGTAGGTTGGCTGGGATGAGGCAACTGCTGGGGAGAGGCGTAACCGAGTCTCGATTTGGGACATTGAACCTGTTACCTCTCCCTTTTTCATCTGCCCGACACCACCCTTTTACCAATCAAAACGTCCAAGACAACAAGGAATGCTAGGTATGATGACCCGCTGATGCTTTTTGTGTAGATCATTAAACAACTTAATTTTTCCATTTTTGCTTGTTTGGTGTGAGGGGAATGTTTGATATGAAGCCTTATTCACATTTTGTTGATCCTCAAATTGATAGAATATGGTTACAAATGACAATTAAGATTTAAGACATAGAATGTGATACTTATGCAATCTCATCCATTTTATAATATAAATTTCCCTTGTAAATGGAGCCAATCTTCATCTTTGGATGTACTCTGGAATTCTCTAAATGTAATAATCATCCTAGCAACAACCGTGGATGCAGATAAATTGCTAAACCAAACAAACAGAGTAAATCCCACATGAAGTGGGGAGGGTAAGATGTATGGAGCCTTTCCTCTACTCCAAGGAGTAGAGAGGCTGATACTTGCGACAAGGATTTCCGAGTAGAGCCTTTCCTCTACTCCAAGAAATTCCAGAATATTTTTAGACTTGGTGTAATACTTGACCTCTAAATTGACAGGTGATGAATCTGCGGATATTGACAACTTAGTCAAGAGAACAATGCCGTGGCTTGGTGAAGATATGTCCATGAAGGATCCTGGCCTGAGTTTAGTCCAATGGATGAACATGCAGCAAGGTTCATCTCTGGCTAATCAAATCCAACCAAGCTACTTGAATCCTTTGGCGGGATCTGTCCTGCAAAACTACGGGGGACCAGATCTTTCACGGCAGTTGGGCTTGTCAGCACCACAAATGCTTACACAGAACAACCTACAGTTCAATAATCAACGGTCAACCTCACAGCTTGATCAGCTACAAAAACTACCTCAACCTGCCACCACCACAAACCCATTAGCAGTGATGATGCAGCCACAACAGTTGACAGACCTAACCCAGCAAACGGTTAGGCAAACTTTGATCAATCAAACACTGCCTCAGAACCAAATTCAGTCACAGATTCCATCTCAAAATGTTCTTCAGCAGCAGTCGATGCAAAACCATGAGTTCCAGAGAAACCTTCAGCTGCAACAGCAGCAGCAGATGATGGCGGTGAGTCAAAATCAGCAGAAAATCTCGTTGCCATCTCAGTTTCCTGATCAACAAATTAGTCAAAAGTTACAGATGCCGGAAAATCAGATTCAACTTCTACAGAAGCTTCATCATCAGCAACAAGCACTTTTAGCACAGCAAGGACAACATCCTCAAGATCAACAGAAACCATTGATAGATGTACCTCAAAGCTTTGCAAGGTCAATACCAACCAGCCAAATGATGGAAATGCCATCTCAAATTCCAATCACATCACAACCACAACAAATGCCAAGAAAGAATAGCGAAGCAAATTTTCGATTTTCTCATCTTTCTCAGCAACCAAAGCTACAACATCAGCAGCCGGAGTTGTCAGGACAGATGACAGGTGCAACCCCAATGCCAATCAATCTGCTCTCAACAAATGGCAGCAGTTTATTGACAGGAACTGCAGGTGGAGGTCAATCTGGGATCAGTGATGATGTTCCATCGTGTTCCACATCACCCTCAACAAATAACTGCCCAAACATGGTTCCTTCGATAGTCAATGGTCGATCCTACGGAAGTACAACTATGGGTGGTGAAGAGATAATTCAGGCTTCTGCTCATCTAATGAATACCACTGGATTGGAAACGGTATCAGCAAATGGAAACTTTGTTAAAGAATTGCAGCAAAAAGCTGATGTGAAACCTTCGGTGAATGTCTCAAAGATTCACAACCAAGGATTTTTAGCCCCACAGACATACTTGCATAATCTTGCTGGAACCCAGATGGATTACTTGGACAGTTCTTCATCAGCAACTTCAGTTTGCCTTTCCCAGAATGATGTTCATTTGCAACCTCAGAACTCGAATCAGCTGTCTTTCAACTCACAACCATTGCCATTTCGAGATACAATTCAAGATGGGGAAGTTCAAGATGATCCTAGAGCAGATATTCCATTTGGGGTGAACATGGACAACCGCTTGGGAATGTCATCAGTGATTCCTGACCCTTTGCTCACAAAAGGAATGATGGGATCTGGTAAAGATTTCCAAAATAATCACAGCTCAGGAGGCATGATTTCTAGTTATGAAAACCCCAGCAAAGACACTCAACCGGAACTCTCTTCATCCATGGTCTCTCAGTCGTTTGGAGTTCCAGATATGACTTTCAACTCCATTGATTCCACCATAAATGACAGCAGCTTATTGAACAGTGCCGTCTGGGCCCCACCACCGCAACAGTTTCAGCGAATGCGGACATATACCAAGGTTTAATGTCAACCATCTATCGTCTTTGCCAATCTTCTTCCATATGGTGTGGATCTCAGGGAGTCAAAATATTTTATTGGATTCATGTAGGTCTACAAGCGAGGAGCAGTTGGAAGATCAATAGATATTACTGCATATTCAGGATATGACGAGCTTAAACAAGACCTGGCTCGAAGGTTTGGTATTGAGGGTCAACTGGAGGATCGACAAAGAATTGGCTGGAAACTTGTCTATGTGGATCATGAGAGCGATGTTCTCCTCGTTGGGGATGACCCTTGGGAGTAAGTCCACAATCTTCTTTTATGTCTTGAATTACCGTTCCATGATGACAAATAAACTTGTAGATCACGATTAGCACCTAGGAACCATAACTTATGATGATGACAATTGAATTTTATCTGGGTATGGAACCTTGCTTGCAACCTGGTTCTTTTGATGTTTCTATTGGTATATCACATATTTATGGCTTGAGTTGACTTCAGGGAGTTTGTAAACTGCGTTCGCTGCATCAAGATCTTGTCTCCTCAAGAAGTCCAGCAGATGAGTTTGGATGGAGATTTTGGCGGCAACAGTGTTCTTCCAAATCAAGCTTGCAGCAGTTCTGGTGGAGGAAAAGTGTAAGGATTGTCTTTCCAACCTTTAACCTCTAGGAACTTCTTACTATTATTATAGTCAGCCACGGATCCTGTGTTCCTAGTTTCTTGAACCGGGAGTTTTTAGCCATGAATGGGACTCAGACCATGTCCGAGATTAAACTTATCTTGTCTAGACACCTGCAGAATTTCTGTTTACAGAATATCATCCATTTGTACAAAGATTTGCTCTTAAAGACTTCTAATGAGAGAATTGCTTATCGGTTTTGCTTTCTGTATGGTCCATGTTTTAGAAATGTTGCAGCATATGTAGGTTGGTAACCATTCAATTTCTGCTCAATATACGAACAACCTCTCTTTTTTTCCAAGGGCCCAAGTAATGTAATAGGGTTCCATGTATAATTAATGTTAGAATTGCATTAAACAGAGTAGCTGATGGTAATTTTTTTTTTTGAAATTCTGACTTTTGACAGAAAAATTATAATGTAAACAGTACGAGATGCTCTTGTAATGTCAGACATGTGAGTGCTGCTAAACATGGTGTCTTGGATCAAGGCCCATTTAAATAAACCCAACTTTATTCAAAAGAAATGGGCTAAAGCCCAGGCAATGAATGAGGCCAAGATCACATGTATATTGACTATTGAGGATACCTTCATAAATCTCTCCAAGATCATTCAATCATCTACATAATAATATATACCATATTTAGTCAGTCAAATATGTAAATACATAGCTTAATTTACTCCTGTAAATCATCTCTGTAAAGGCTATATATTGGCCTCATATTCTCCTTGTAATTCATAAAATCAATACATCAATACATTTATATGGTATCAGATCTTTTTCTCTCCTCTGAGAAACCTTCGATCCTCTTTGCCTCTCACCACATGCCAGACGAGCCGATCACACCCCCCATAAACATGTCAGAAAAATCGGATACCACCATCATCCATCTCATCGCCACAAACCACTTCCCTATCAAACTCACATCATCCAACTTTTCCGTCTGGCGAAAGCAAGTTCTCTCTACCCTAATCGGTCTAGACCTTCACTACTTCATCGAAGGTCCTTCAAAACCCCCTACAAAAACTAGTGTTGAATACTTTCACTGGTACATACAAGATCAAATATTGATCAGTGCCCTTCTCGGCAGCTGTAACGATGCTCTACAACCGTTGATGTCCTCCGCTGAAACATCTCGTGGAGCATGGTCTCGTTTCACCACCACTTATGCCAACGCTTCCCGTTCCAGAATCATCTCTCTCAAATCCAACCTCATAACCAACCCCAAAGGATCCCGCACTGTTGCTGCCTTTCTCGGTGACATGCGATCCATTGTCGTTGAGCTTGCCTTGGCCCAAAGCCCGATCAATGATAAAGATCTGATGATTCATATCATCAATCAACTAGGAGAACATTTCAAACCTATTGTCGCCGCCATCAAAGTCCGTGAAAACCCAATTACCTACTTTGAACTCTGACAAATTGGTAGATTTTGAAAGGTTTTTGAAAGAAAAAGACATACCTCCTGCTGATATTCTCACAGCAAACTATACCCATACTTCACGAACTTGGTCTACTCAATCCACCTGGGCCACTACTCCCTCGGCCTCCAATCAGCGGTCCAACCATTGTTCCCGTCCTGGGTCACGCAACCCACGCTCGTCATGGTCAAAACCACAACACTCTTACACCAGAAATCGTAACAGTCGCTCCAACTCTCACTGTCAATTCTGCTCCATAGATGGTCATGATACAAAAGAGTGTCGCAAACTCTTCCGGTTCCTTCATGATAACAACATTGAGATCAACACAGGTCCTCTAGTCAACACCACAACCACCAGAACCAACCTGGTTCAACCCACCTGGCTCTTTGACAGCGGAGCATCTCACCACGTCACATCGGATTGCTCCAACCTGCAAACTCCAATGGACTATGGAGGGCCCGATGAAATTATTCTTGGCAATGGTGCGGGCCTTAAAATCACTCACACCGGTGACAGTAGCCTTTCAACCTCGTCCCGCCCTCTCTCCCTTCCCCATGTTTTTTGTGTCCCTCACTCTAATTTCGGTTGCCAAACTATGCAAAACTAACAAAGTTTATGTCGAATTTTTTCCTTCTTGTTTTGTTGTGAAGGATCTAGTCATGGGGGCACCTCTACTTCGGGGAGTGAACAACCATGATGTGTACTATGCTCCGGCTTCTCCTCTTCTCCAAGTAAACACGGTCACGACATCCACCATTCATGATTGACATCATTGTCTTGGTCATCCATCTATCAAGACGTTCCAATCTCTTGTAAAGTTTATTGGTTTTCATTCAAATAAAAAGTTGAACTCTAAGTTTCATTGTGAGTCGTGCTCTATCAATAAAAGCCATAAACTTCCATTTAATGACACCTCTTTTGTGACTACAAAACCTCTACAGCTGATATATACGACAGATGTTTGGGGACCAACACAAAAATCTATTGATGGTTATCAATACTACGTAATTTTTGTTAACTTCCACACCAAATATGTATGGCTCTACCCCATGTGCCACAAATCGGATGTCTCTACACTCTTTCCTCGCTTCAAAAAGTTAGCTGAGCACTACTTTCAAACACCTCTCATATCCATCTTCTCGGATAACGGGGGAGAATACCAAGCCCTCATTCCTCTCTTCCAATCTCTTGGTGTCTCTCACTTCACCACACCGCCTCACACACCAGAACAAAATGGGACTGCTGAAAGACGTCACCGACATGTAGTGGAAACCGGGCTCACCCTTCTACACCATGTCGGTCTACCTCTACGTTTTTGGTCCCATGCATTTCAAATGGCTGTCTACTTAATCAACCGCTTACCCACACCCATCCTCAACCATAAAGCCCCTTATGAAACTGTTAAACCCCATAACTCATAATGTAAAAAGTAATGAAAAACAATAAGTGATGAAGAACCAGATGATCGATGAAGATATCAAGGCAGAAGCGACTAAGTCTGGAGTATAACCAGATGACCGATGGACGATCTGGGATGCGATGGAAAGAGCATCCTCATCGATTCTCTGGTCATCAACACTTAGTGAATTCTCCAGCAAATCATCCAGAAGCATACAGCGAAGATCTAAAGATAAGGATGAT